GGGACTTCGGGATCTGTAGCCAGGAACTCTGACCACTAGACAACAGAGGCGGTCAACGTTCATCCTATAACAATAATTTCATGGCTTCAAAACTGTTGTACTTGGAAAAGTACAGAATGTATTCACAGGAATTTCTGAAAACAGAGGTGTATAGGGGATGTGGAAGTAAAGCCCCACGCATTCTAGACCTTGAAACGCGATGGAGATGAGTAGTCATGTCCATGTTCCGGCAACTTGACCTAATGGAGTGAATGACAGATGACCATTTTCCATTAGAAAAAATTATTTACTTATAAATATTAACAAAAGGAAAATTGGAAGGATATGACATCTTCACAGTATGCTACTTTCAGCCAATCACAGATTCAAATATTATTTATCTTGATGTGTAATGATATTACACTACAAACCTACCAATTTGCTATAATTTATTTTTATTTGTGGGTTATTTAGTAACACTAGTCTAGGGTTAACGTCCCCACCTCATGACTCAAGGTACGCGGGTTCAAACCCGGCGGAGGTCGTGGAATTTTTAAGGGCGGAAAAATTCAGGGAACAAGTCCTCCGGGAGGGACTTTAAGCCGTGGGTCCCGTGTCGTAGATTTACGGCACGTAAAAGATCCTCTGAGCAAAATTAGGCAACAATTTCCCGCCCAAGTAGTTTCCAATGCCTCTGGTAGATGGGGGAAATATCAGGTACCGACGGCCAACCTCGTTGGCTGAATGGGGCTGATAGCACGCACCAGTACTGGTAGGGTATGGCGACAGTAGAAATTAAAGGGGGACGCACAATGGACCAATAACTGGTCTAAGTGCATGGGGAAACCCACCCCCTCTAATAATAATAATAATAATAATAATAATAACACTAGACTATACAGTGTTTTGGGAAGGAGGAGGAAATTAAGAGGAAACTAAATTCGGGTAATGCTTGTTACCATTCAGTCCAGAACATTTTGTCTTCTCGTCTGCTGTCTTAAAACATTAAAATTAGAATATACAAAACAATAATTTTGCCAGTGGTTCTGTATAGGTGTGCAATCTGGTCTCTGATATTAAGGGAGGAACACAGACTGAGGATGTTTCAGAACAGGGTGCTGACAAGAGCATTCGGGTTGAAGAAAGATGAAGTGATGAGAGGTTGGAGAAGACTACATAATGAGGAGCTTCATAACTTGCAGTTTTCACCAAGCATAATTAGAATGATCAAGTCAAGGAGGATGATGTGGGAAGGGCATGTAGTACGAATGGGTGAGAAGAGGAACGCATATAGGATATTGGTGGGAAACCCAGAAGTAAAGAGACCACTAGGAAGACCAAGACATAGATGGGTGGACAACATTAAAATGGATCTTAGAGAGAAGGGATGGGGTAGTATGGATTGGATTGATCTGGCACAGGATAGGGACCAGTGGAGGACTCTTGTGAACATGGTAATGAACCTTCAGGTTCCATATATTCCTGGGAAGTTCTTGAGTAGTTGAACAATTGGCGGCTTCTCAAGAAGGGCTCAGCTCCTGAATGATTGAGACTATATAGTGTTGAATGGATAAATGAATGATAATTTGGAAAGGATCTGGAAGGAAACAGCTATGGCTTAATCAAGGTTCTGTCCCAGCATTTGCCTGAAAAACTAATAAACATGTCAGTCATTGTAGCTGATGTCTTGGCTGAAATTCAAACTTAGAACTACCTGAATACAAGCCAGAGAGTTAGCACTATGTCAACCTGTTCAGATAGTTGCTGTCAAATGCAGTGATAAACTATACATGTTATGAAGTTAACAAGAATGGAAGAACATATTCCTACTTGAAACAAAGAGATACCTCAAATGTATTATTTGCAAATTGTACACCTAACTGATCCTGATGTTTATTCATCACAAATGCAAATTTATTGCTGCAAAGCTAATTGATATTACAGGGATTACACACATACAGTGATAAATTATTGTTCCTCACACCTCATTAACAATACTTACTTACTTACTCATGGAGCTGAGCCCTTCTGGAGGAGCTGCCAATTCAGTAGCTACTCAAGAATTTCCCAGCATTTTATGGAACCCGAAGGTTTCTTTACCATGTTCACAAGAGCCCTCCAATGGTCCCTATCCTGAGCCAGATCTATCCAATCCATACCATCCCATCTCTCTAAGATCCATTCTAATATTGTCCACCCACCTGTGGCTTGGTCTTCCCAGTGGTCTCCTTCCTTCTGGCTTTCTCACCAATATCCTGTACACATTACTCGTCTCCCGCATTCGTGCTACATGCCCTTCCCACATAATCCTCCTCGACTTGATCATTCTAATTATGCTTCGTGAAGACAACAAGTTATGAAGCTCCTCATTATGTAGTCTTCTCCAACCTCTCGTCACTTCGTCTTTCTTCAACCCAAATGCTCTTGTCAGCACCCTGTTCTGAAACATCCTCAGTCTGTGTTCCTCCTTTAATATCAGAGACCAGGTTGCACGTCTATACAGAACCACCAGCAAAATTATTGTTTTGTATATTCTAATTTTTATGTTTTAAGACAGCAGACGAGAAGACAAAATGTTCTGGACTGAATGGTAGCAAGCATTACCCTAATACACCAAACTGAAAAATATTTTAGCTAAAGTTGCAGATCTTAATGAAACATATATATTATGTTATATGCCATAATGCATACAATAATTTCTTGAAAAAACATTCTATATAATATCATGTAAAACAAGAGTTACATTCAACCATGATGACAATGATTCATAGCGTTGAGATCTTCTTGAGAAGTCGTCAGTTCTGCAGCTACTAAAGAACTTTCCAGCGTTTTATAGAACCCAAGGTTCATTACTGTGTTCATAAGAGCCCTCCACTGGTCCCTACTCTGGTCAAATCTATTCAGTCCATACCACGCTATCCTACCTCTGTAACATCTAATATTACCCACCCACCTACATATTGGTCTTCCTGGTGGTCTCTTTCCTTTTGGATTTCCCACCAATATCCTACATGCATTCCTCTACCATTACAGCCTAAAATTATAACTGTACCACAACACTTAGTCTACAAGTCCCTTTCAGAATCAAATTTCATGAAAATACTTTTAACAGTTTCAGAAATGATACATGCAGGTGAAAACAGTATCTCTATCACATGTTCATTCTATGCACTGTGTGCAAATAACACACAAAACTGGACTATGTTGAGTGGAGAAATTAAGTTAATGCAGAAAAAAACTGTATTGATGAATGTGTATGGTACCAGATTATGCAAAATTAAAAATTTGGATATACAGAATGAACCAGTAAATGGAAGAATAGATGGTCGCAGATAAAAAGGATTCTCCCATTCAGACAGAACGGACCAAACCATACTCTAAAACCTGCACTTTCGCACAAACTGAAGTATACAGATGTAGAAAGCCCATTCAGAGTATAGCTATGAGGCTGGAACCATCTGTGCAGCGGAAAGAAGTCATAAAAGTGGTAAGATGCTTTGTGATGCAACTATATTCAAATAAAAGACAAGGTATACAGGTAAATTGAAAGTTTTGGGATAATATATATCAGCCTGAAATTGTTCCATTCATTATTAACAACTTCCTTTTAAAAAGAGTATTAACATGATGGTCAAGTCAGAGGCAGAACTAGGGTGATGCAGACAGGACACCTACCCTACACGCAGATGAAGGGGGCTGAAATGTTCAAACAATGAAAAAACACAGAAAAGTCACTGAATGCCAGTATTAAATTAAAAAAAAAAGGAGCATGGCTAACATTACATGCTTGTTTGGAAATATAAACATGGTAACAGTTTTGCTGATGTGGGCACAGGAAGAAGATTCAAATGCTTCTCCTGAAGTCAGGTGCATCCATAATAGATGAGTTCACGTCATGGTTGGGCTGTTTAGAAAACCCACTATACAAATGCCATAAATGCTACCACCATAATTCCCTTTTTGATTCTACAACCCGAAGAAACAAGACAACAGATATCTGAACTGCCTCACTGTATGAAATTGGTTAAATCCACTGTCAGTCAAAACAGTGAATTGGTAAATAGTACATTTATAAGCAAACTATCTGGCCATATTGCTCTGTTTCAGCACCATGCATCATCATAACATGCTGCCCACAAATGGTATAAAAGCTAAGGTACAGGTATGATCTTATCAACTATGAAAGAACCAACAGGATTTCAGGTATTTCTGGTAGAATGCAGAATAATATCCCAACCCTCTTTAAGCACTGGCAAATATTATTCATCTGCTTATAATACATATGTGGAGTATGTAAATAAAAGATTAAACAGTATTTCACATAAGACATTTCTTTAAAAATCTGACAGGAAGAAATAATGAAACACACTTTCCTTTAAATTCTTCCATCTGAACAAATGCCTAGAGAACTTCTGAATGACTACACAGTTAAATTACAATACTTGTGAAAATTTTCCAGTACGTGCAAATAGTTGAATAAGATTCCAAACTATCACACTGCTATCACGTTTGTACTATTCTGTAGATAAAAATGGCTCAAAAAATTTGCTGGCACAATTATTGCCATCACATACTTGCTAATTAACAAAACTACAGGTAATACTGGCATTTGTACTAGATTACAATGACATCTGTATAAAACAAAACGCTCTATCAAATTTCAACCACCTTTCTGCCCTTGACATGAACTTTAAAAGATTCCTATGCCAGTCTTGCTATCGGAATTATTTTCACTCATTCAGACTTGAAAAGGCAATACTGAGAACTACTCGTAAACATCACCGGCCACCGAAAACACGCGATCCTCTCCATCCACAAAAAAAAAAAAAATCCTTATCTCTGAACATATAACACATAGACAAGCCATAGCTAAGAGCAGTTATTTAAACTTCTTTCAACGAAACCGGTACTACACTTCAGTTTTAAATACATTATCAAAAATTACGGCATTACAAGGTCAAGACATTCAATACATAACACAAAGACACTATGATCAACTCACAAATAATGTACAGACTTACCACATGTTTTGTACAGACAGCTTACTCAGACGATCACCATTTTTCAGAGTTTATGGATGCTGACCAACTGTTGGAGCACAAATTAAACCAAGCATACAATACAACATATAACAACATAAAACGCAAAGACGACCGCACACTCCCTACCGACAACGAGCAAAATGGCGATATTCTTAGCGCCGTTATTATGACAGCTTTCAGAACCACTACGCACGCTCCGCACACCACATTGGCCAGTTATAATTCGTGCAGGAACATATACTCAGCTGCTATTGGTTGACGGAATACAGGTATCACCTGTTCACTGCCTTCTTATAGTTGGACCCACAAATATTCCTGTCACATAATAAAAATACCTCAAGGGAATTTCTGATGTGACACCGTATAGACTGGTAGATCATTGCCCATGTCTCAAAGGCAGTGTGCCACCATCTTCGCGATAGTAGCACTTCCTCTGAAACGCTGATAACAATTCACCACACCACATGGTACCATAACGCAGTCGCCATCATGAGAATTTCAAATATCCCCAAAATATCTCAGTTTTGAGAACTGCGTGAATGTACGAAATATAAAAAGAAGGTAAAGTAATTCCTGTAACAAGCAATGGAGGCTCACAGGGTTGTGAGACGTCGAGGCTCCCACATTATCCAGCCAATAGGCTTACAGATGGTGGTAAGGCTGCCACTGGTGCCTTCCGTTATAATACATACTCCAAATCAAGTAAATACAATTTTTAAGAAATTGTGTAAATTACTGACCACTTAAACAGGGCTCAGTGTAAGGAGCAATTATTGCACAACTTTGAACAAAAACAAAAACTAAAATAAATATCCATTGTGAAATTTACTGAATTTCTGTCTCATATATAACAAATCATTATTGCACTTGCCAATTCAAAAAGCAATTACAGGCTTAAGTAACACAATTTAACTTTATTAAAATTGTGCTGAAAACTTCTCGGACGACAAGGGTCAGCATCGACACTTCTGATGGAGACCGGGGAGATCTCTGAAACGTTGGTACTTTTGTTCAACATTTACAAGGCTAAACGCCCAAGATGATTTTAGCACGTTTATTCGCTGTGACAGTTTCAAATATTGCATAAAAATTACCACGCATTGGGAACTCTGCGAACTTTAGTTCATACGTAATATAAATACAGATATGTTTCCTTGTCACTTCTTGTGAAATTTACAATGATGCCAACATATTTCGCCACTCTGCTCATGACCTAAGAAAATGAAACATTTAAGCAAAATCGGTTCAGCGGATGTCGAATTATGAAACAACAGAGTATAAAACATTCCTTTGATTAATTATCTCAAAATCCTTAACACTGGCCTTGTAAAAGTAATGATCACAGAATGTTCAGCAGTTTTCGAATTATGAAACAACAGAGAAAAAATATTCCTTTGATTAATTATCTCAAAAACCGTAATACTGGTCTAGTAAAGGTATTGATCACAGAATGTGTATTTCGTTGCCATCTACAACTACTGTTTAAAACAGTCCTCCCTTTTATAAATGCCGAAAGAGAGTTATGCTCCTATTACGCTCGAGATTCGCGCAGAAACACATGCAGATCTATACGCGGTGTAATAATTCTTCGATTCGACACCACAGTCGGGACGGTCGGGACGGTCGGGACAATAGCTAGTTGGCATAATACACTAGCGCTACCAACTACGTACGCTGTGTATCTGTGTACCATTCATTTGCAGTAGGTTTGAGCTGGGATTGCTCAGTCGGTATAACGGTGATCGTGTTATTTTGTAGATTTTTATACATAATATTACACATCAAATTAGTTCTAGTTATCTTGTTAAATGTACGTCTTCGGGGTGAATTTTATAATCTTAATGTAAACTTCCAGGCGAGGAATATATTTTACTCCAAAATAACAGGTACACATGGTTTCTTTGAGGTTATAATGTATTGTGTGGTTCTCGCCCTAAATTGTCGACAACACCCCAATTAAATCTGCTTACTTTATTATTTCAGAATGGATGAACAAGCGTGTCCTCGGTGTAAGACTACAAAATACAGAAACCCTTCACTGAAGCTTATGGTGAACATTTGTGGCCATGCTTTATGTGAAAGCTGTGTGGATCTACTTTTCCTTAAGGGTATGTGCTTGGATTCGAGATTTTTAAAAACATCACACTAAAAGACATTCTTTTCAACCCTTCTTGTTCTCGCAGGCGACAAAAATGTAAAGACCTTATATAGTTTACTGTTTATGTTACACAGAATGTAATGAACCATATTCTAGGATACACGTTCAAGGGATAGAACTCATTAACCAAAATATTGTTAAAGGTTTTGTAAAAATGTTTTAATTAATGCTTAAGTATAATTTGCGATTATAATTTATTTTGGCATACCAAAGCCCTGTAACAAGGCATTGAGTTCTGACTTCTTTTAGTTATTAGACAAAACACAGATGAATCCAACTTAACTTAGGTAATTGGTTGTGGTATTGTAGGGTAATATTAGAATGCTCTTGTGAGAGTGTGAAGCAAATCAGCTTGAGTCAGACTGGTGTCCTCTCTTGCTGCACTTTGCTGGTGACAGTTTCTGAATTTCATAACATTAGAATTGTATATAACAACTGAACTCCTATCCACTGCTGAACAAATAACTCTACCAAAAAGTATAGTTATTTAAATACCTTAATATTTTTATATTAATCAGCTTCAAAATGTGCATAGAAGGTCTTCATCTTTCATAAGTCATTTAAATATATATATATATGTGTGTGTGTGTGTGTATGGGAGTTTTGTTAATTGATGCCACCACTGTCTTCCATATCTCTGCTTTGTTCTGTTCTCCTGACATTCATTCTTAAGTTTTATTGTTTCCAATCCATATCCTATACAGTTACCTATCTTTTTCTACTTTTGGTACATTTTGGCCCTTCTGAAATCATCCAGTTTCTTATTTGACAATCTTTGTCCAAATTGTTGTCAAAGATAGCCACCCAGCATAGGCCTTTTTTCAGTTGCATCGACTATAATATCTCCCTCTACTTGTATGATCTGTTGAATAGTATGATAAAAAAGAATTCATTTGAACTTTACTGATGCATTTGTAATCTCTGAAAGAAGACTTGGATGATATTGAAGTCCACCTTAAGTATTTGTCTCTTAAATATATTAAGCATCTTGCACAAGAAACAGGAATATCAAAAGAGACTACAACAAAATTGTTGGCACTGCAACTATACCGAACCAGGGATACAGAGATATTGGGTTTTCGGACTTTATCCATCGTCCTGGTTTTAAGATAACTAAGAAAAACATGACATTTCAGAAACTGGATCTGTTTCCATTCTGATGTGAGGGAAAACACCTATTCTGTTGAGGCTAGCTCTCTCTAAGGGACCTAACAGAATAGGTGTTTTCCCTCACCTGAGGATGGAAACAGATCCAGTTTCTGAAACGTCGTGTTTTTCTTAGTTATCTTAAAACCAGGACGATGGATAAAGTCTGAAAACCCAGTATCTCTATGTGTTATGCACCATCGTCAGAATCCTATAGTAACTACGAACCAGGGATGTTCACTGTCTGCATTCACATGACATGGTGATTTCTAATTGGTGTCTTCACTCAGTTTATGATAGCAAATTGATCCCAAATTGACATTTTATCAGATGAGGCATGGTTTTGTTGGAGTGGACACATTGGCACAAATGAATACTGGAGCACAGAAAATTCACAATTTATATAGGAAGTTTCACTGCACAATGTGGATGTTGGCATGCTGTGAGAGTAGGAGAGATTGTGAGTTCTGTGTGTCATCCAGATAGGATTAATTCTGGGAGATATGTGCTGTATGATTACTGATGTACGAGGGGGTACCCAAAAGAAACCGAACTTATTTTTTTTAAACTTATTTATTCAAATTTTAAGCACAAACCTTCAATCCCCTTCAAAGTACTCTCCGCTTACACTGACACACTTGTCTACTCTTTTATTCCATTTTTCAAAACATTGTCTAAATTCATCTTTTGAGATGCATGACAGCGCCTCCATCGTTTTTTCCTTTCATGTCTCTTTTCATTTGAGGAAACAAAAAAAAAGTCGCACGGGGCAAGGTCGGGTGAGTATGGAGGGTGAGGAACAGGGGTCATACCATTTTTGGTCAAGAATTGTCGTACAGACAGGGCTGTGTGAGCAGGGGCATTGTCATGATGGAAAAACCAGTCACCCGACTGCCACAAATCTGGCCGCTGAGCTCCAAGTCACTCCCGACAGCTCCACAATTTCTTCAATGGTCCATCGTCGATCTTCCTTGATGATTTCACGAATTTTTTCAACATTTTCATGTGTTCGGGCCGTGGAAGGACGACCAGAACGAGGTTTGTCATCAATTGACATTTCACCATTTTTGAAACGGGAAAACCACTCAAACACTTGAGTTTTCCCCATAGCATCGTCCTTGTATGCCGTTTTTAACATTTCAAGAGTTTCTGTTCCACTTTTCCCGAGCAAAAAGCAGAATTTCACCGCCGCACGCTGTTCACGAAAATCAGCCATTGCAAAAACGACGATCACACAAAACAGTTGTCACTATAAACTCTGCCGAAACTAGTCCTTACCTTCTGAAGCAACGGTAGTCGGCTTATTGACTCAGGAATGTTAGCTCTATGCGCTCATAGCGGCAAAACGCGGTACTACAAAAGCTCCGCCCACAAAAAAATTAGTTCGGTTTCTTTTGGGTACCCCATCATAAAATCCAAAGTTGAATAAAACCTGTAACTTCGTTTGAAGTGTTTTTTATATATGTATTTAATAAACTAATTCCATTATAGACCTGAAGGGATTCTGACGATGGTGTATGCTGTACAGAACTATTAGGCTTATTTTGGACTTTATCCATTTTCTGGTATATAAAAGCAAAAAACCACAATGTTTCGGATACTGGATCTGTCTCCATCTTCAGGTGGATGGGACAGGATAGACCTACTCATTTGAGCCCGTTAGAAAGAGCTAGTCTTAAGCACTGGACATTGAGACGAGCTCTTTCTAACGGTCCCAACTGAGTAGGTCATTCCTGCCCCATCCACCTGAGGATGGAGACAGATCCAGTCTCTGAAACATTGTGGTTTTTTGTCTTATATTTACCAGACAGTGGATAAAGTCCAAAGTAAGTCTCATAGTTAGTGGCCTCCATAGTCTGGAGGTAACGTTCCCACCTCATGACTCGTAGTACGCGGGTTCAAACCCAGCGGAGGTCGTGGAATTTTTAAGGGTGGAAAAATTCAGGGAACAAGTCCTCCGGGAGGGACTTTAAGCTGTGTGTTCCGTGTCGTAACTTTACAGCACGTAAAAGAACCTCATATCTCCTAAGGAGGTCACCGAGCCAAATTCAAGGACATTTCCCGCCCAACAGTAGTCTCTAACGCCTCTGATAAATGGGGGAAGCATTATAGATACCGCCAAGCCAGTAGAGGCCGAACTCGCTGGCTTGGTTGGGACTGATGCTAAGCACCAGTATTGGTAGGGTATAGAGACTGGTAGAATATCATAGAGGGAAGCACAATAGATCAAACTGGTCGCGGTGCATGGGGGAACCCATCCTCTCTAAATAACTAACTAACTAAGCCTCATAGTTCTGTAATTCCATTATGCACAGTCCTTAATTAAATTTCTCACAATTGGCTCACTGTCTGGAATATGAGTATTGAATCAAATAGACTCCCATATACTGAATTTCACCAAAATCTGTTTTAGTAATTTTGGAGGTGAAACATGCTGACAGTCAGATACAGTCCCTCAATTGTATACTCATTTCTTGCAGATAACAACTAACAGAAATTACATTACTCATATCATACATATTTTACAGTTGAATTAATTAAGACATTTGTTCTAATTTTGTGTGTTCCTTGTTCTCTGCTCAGGATCTGGTTCTTGCCCTGAATGTAATGTACCATTGCGGCGCAGCAATTTTCGAGTTCAGCTCTTCGAAGACTCCATGGTTGAAAAAGAAGTTGACATAAGAAAAAGGGTTTTAAGAGATTTTAACAAGAAAGAAGAAGATTTCAGTACCTTACGAGAATATAATGACTACTTGGAAGAAGTAGAAACTATTGTATATAATTTAACTAATAATGTAGATGTTATTGCAACCAATAAAACAATAGAGCAATACAAGAAAGAAAATAAAGACTTGATTTTGAAAAATAAGTCTAAAATAGGGAGAGAAGAGATGGAATTGGAAGAACTCCTTGAGGAAGAAAAACAGCAAGATGAAATCAGAAAGAGAGAATTAGTGAGATTTGAACAAGAAGAGAAGAAGAAGAAGGTAAGGGTTAAAGAGGCTCTTATTGACGAATTAATGTTTTCTAATGCTGATGCAAAAAATATTTTGGAAACATTTGCAAATAGTGTACAGACAACAAAGGAAGAAGTGAAGGTAGTTCCTGCCATTAGAGCAACTCAGTTCTCTACAGGTATCAAGTTTGGACGCCAAAGGCAACAGAATTTCTTACCAGTGCCCAAAATTGAGGAAGGACCTTTGTATGTGTATGAAGCTCCAAGACAACCAACTGATGGCCCTTTACCACCTACCTGGGAAGATCTTGAAGTAAAGGGCTACATAAACCACATGGAGAGTGAAAAGGATGAACATCGAGCTGGTGGATACAGATCCAATATTTCTTGCCTTCGAGCCCTGCAAGAAGCTTTAGCAGGTTTATATCACGTATCAGATAGAACAGAGCTTGTTAGTTGATAGGTTTGTTAGCAAACAGAGCAATGTTATCATATTTGTTTCATTATTTTGGTTCACATGTATGTAAGGTATGGACTAAAGAATTTGATGTGTTTTTGTTGTCCCTCACAATGAATGTTGAATTTATTGTGTATGTGTAATAGAGAATTTTATGTTCTGGATATTTGGAATATAGTAAATCAGGCATTAGTATGCTTAATTTAGATCATTAGTACCCAAAGTGGGGTGTACCACCCACTGAGGGGTGGTGGAATTACGAAGGGGGTTGCTGGACATGGGCCCATCCGAGCACATTGTTTGCTTATTTATGATTGAAGTGACTTCTGATGAAAGACCAGACAGTTGGAAACTGGCACCAGTTCATCATCCCATACCTCACATTAAGAATGTATTGACAGTGAAGTTACTAAATGTGAATCTTATGTTATTGTTAATACTTGCCCTACTGGTTGTGCAAACTGCTGTTTTGAAGAATGCTTTTTATGAGGTAGGGCAGGGGAACGGGGGATGAGTATATGGAACCAAGGGGGTGGTGGTCAGAAGCATTTTTGGAACCACTGGTTAATCACAGAGACAACATTACCTTTACTTGTTGATGATAGGACCTAAGGCTGGAGTTCTGCTGAAAATAGATTAGAAGTCTATATTACTCTTGTGAACATTGTGGTAATGAACCTTCAGCTGTCATGAAGGATGGGGAATTTGTTGACTTCATGTGCAAATATTAGCTTCTCAATAAAGATTCTGTTCAAGTGGGTTAGTTATTTATTTATAGATTACTAATTACATGGGTGTTTGATAATCTTCGCTTTACTTGATATCTAAATGAATCTCATTAGGTGTAAACCAGAATAGCTCAGTCAACAAAATATCTAGCTATGAACTGGATAAGTAGAGTCAATTCCCAGCTGGGAGTTTTCTCTTTGCTACCATGCCTAGACTGGTTTGAAGACCTCCAATCCAGGGAATGCCTCTGGACCTTTATCGTGGTGTAAAATGGCCCAAGAATGAAAATTCCAGTTTCTTTCCAACTGAATGTAGGGTCTAAAATTCGTGGAGCATTTTCCTCTCAACCCTTGTACACTGTCATAGCATGAAGCTCTTTGACCCTCTGCATGTTACACAAGTGATCTCATTTAAAACCTCTAATCAAATAGGTTGGAATAGCAATAATGCTTTAAACTCGTATTTCGGAAGTAGTTCAAATCTCAGGCAGGACACAGGCTATTTTGACTGATGCTTTCCTAAGTGCCTCCAGATAAATGCAGGGAGAGTACCTTGATCAGGCCTCGACTGCTTCTTTCAACATCCTTTCCAATAAATTTGTCATCCTACCATTGGCATGGTTACACTTTAAAAGTACCATGAAACCCGAAGACAGTACTATGACAATGCAGGTGTGCACCACCATTAAATTAGTACTGCCAGCAGCATGCAAACATAGTCCAAAGTCAAGATGTTAAGTCACTGAAGGGAATAAACCCATGCCTATACTGTAAGTTTTATGAGTCCTTGAGCAGTGAGAAAGATGGAAAATATCTGCTTTACTTTTCAAATAGATAAAAACGGAATGTATGTTTGTATATGTGGAACTGGACCTATCACTTGCCAGCAATCGCAGAGGTGCACCGCAAGGTGCAATGCTGTATCCCAACTTGTTTCTGATTGCTGTAGCCATTCATATGTGTATTGGTTTCATCATTCCAGCCTAGAAGATGCAGTCAGACATTTTGAGTTTCACAAGAGAATATTATGTTGTTTCATGGTTGATTTCTATTCTCAGTATTTCAAGACCACTGACATTGTGAGGCCCTGAACTGTACCTTATGTAGCTTGTCTGTAAATACGGCACTGCATAAACCTTGCAAGAAGGTTCTGGCCCACAAAGTAGAGGATAACTGAAGTCCAGTAAGCTCTCACATCATATTAAATTATTCAACAGTTTTAAACAAGTGCTAACAGGACAGATACTGTGACAGATGACTGAATGAGAAATTGGGACAAGAGGCATGGTACTATAAAAGTTGCTAGAATTCATACCTATGATGCTCAAACTATGATAGATACAGAAGCTGAACTAGGGAAAATTTCATTGGACAAAGAAACTAATATCAGTCTCAACAGGAATAGCAAAGAAGTAGGAGGAATTATGGGCCTAGAATATTATGAATATTATGGTGGGTTATTTCAGAAGATGAGTAGTTGGCTATATTGTTAAATGGAAGAGGAGACTGAGTACATTCATATACATGGATAAATGAAATAAATATGACAGATGCAAGATGGATTGGGACTTCTTACAGTAACTGCTGCATGTGCGCCCAAAGAAGGCAGGGAGAACAGAAAAGGCAAGTTATACAAAATGCTACGGAATGTAATTAATAATTTAAGTAATGTTCTGGTAATAGTAAATGACTTCATTGCAGGAATTGAATTGAAAATAATGATGACAGAAATTTTAATGAAAATGAACGTGTATTCCCTAACCAATTACCCAGTGGAGCTGAGGCTATCTTGAGAAGCCACCAGTCATTCATCTACTAACAAATTTTCCAACATTTTGTGGATCCCTTCATTACTGTGTTCACAAGAACCTACCACGTGTCCCTATCCTGAGCCAGACCAATCCAGTCCATACTACCCCATCCTGTCTCTCCAAGATACTTACTCATGGAGCTGAGCCCTTCTGAAGGGGCCGCCAATTCTGCAGCTACTCAAGAATTTCCCAGCATTTTATGGAACCCAAAGGTTCATTACCGTGCTCACAAGAGCCCTCCACTGGTCCCTATCCTGAGCCAGATCTATCCAATGCATACCATCCCATCATATCTTTCTAAGATCCACTCTAATATTGTCCACCCACCTACGCCTTGGTCTTCCCTGTGGTCTCCTTGAGATACATTTTAATATTATTCACGCATCTGTGCCTTGGTTTTCCTAGTGGTCTCCTTCCTTGTATTTTAATATTTACATTTTTACACAGCAGATGAGAAGACAAAAGGTTCTGAACTGAATGGTAGCAAGCATTACCAAAGTTTAGTCATTTAATCTGTTCTTAATGTCCTCATGAATGAAATCTTGATCTGTTATTGTCATTCCTAAATATCTGAAATTTTGCCACATTTTCAAAGGGGCAGTTAAGTGTCTTCATGTCATGATTTTATTTTTCATTGTACCAAGTTTTTATATCTCTTCTTAACACTAGTTAATAATTCCAAAACTATATCTTAGCTCTTGTATGCCACTATTCAGTTCCTTCCATTTTATTTGTGTTAAAATCAATCTTTGTCTTCTCACATATTCCCTTTTCAACTTTTCTCTCACATTTTTGTGTTCTACATTCTGGTTCTCTTCTACACCCAAAAACTTATATCCATCCACCGAGTCTAATTCTTTAATTTCATTCTCCATTTTGTTCACTGTGTGTTTTATCCTATAAACTGACACTTTTCAAAGAAATTATGGCACATTTTTTCTAGTCCAAACTCCATTCTTATGATTCTGCTAATTGTTTTCATAATTTTGATTTAATTTCTTATTAATCTTCATTTCCCCTATCAGCTGCAAATCATGACTTGTTTTCCATTCAGTTCTGAGTACTTTGTATCCACATTCTGATCTATTTAATTAATGAGTTAAGGGAATAAGCACTATTTTAAAAGGAAGTGGTGTCAGTGAGTCACCCTGATGTAACCCTTTATTTGTCTTGATGAGTTTTGACTGCATTAATTCAAGATTTAATTTCGCTAAAGTATTGTGCTTCGTTTCTCCTTTAATAATTCGTAAAAATTAGTTTTGTTGTTTACTCATACCAGTTATATTGACTTTTGTAACCATCTTTGAGGAACACTGTCAAATGCTTAATATTGAGATTATCATTGTCTTCTTATCATCATCATCCACTGTGATTGTGTTCAAGAGGCCGTTGTAGGTTGAATATCAAGCGTAAAAACCCCAGAGTTTCTAGCCCAGCTTGTCTCGTCTGCTTTTGGTCAAGATTGCAGTCATGTGCTTGCCTAGTTGATAGCACAGCGTGGCCTGGCCAATTGGAAGAGTCCTATTCTTCAAACAACGGAACTATGACGTGGCATTCATTTATCTTCCTTTAAAGTGAAGATACAAACGAAATTGTTTCTAGATGTTAACAAAAAGTTTTTAAACAATATTTTGTAAATACACTAATCATAATAATTTATAAATGTTTTAACATATTCATGCACATCATAGTAATTGTTGATATAATTTTATATCTATGGCATTGTAATAATAGTAGATGTAAATATTGATAATGACCAATGATATTGTAATAGTAGTTTCCATATGTATTGATAATGTCCTTCTGAAGATGGTTGCTATGATTGAAACATGTAGAGGATGAAAGATTAAAAAAAAACAATATTTATCAATCACAGTGGATGGTGTTAATAATCTTTTATACTATTGCTAGTGTGATGGACCAAGATGAACCAAGTCAAACCCAAACGTTCATCACTGTGCTAACAAAAGGTATTGTGTCCCATGCTGAACTGGTATAATACAGTCAATACCTTCATGACCAATTTATCCAAGAAGAACTTTAATATTCTGCCATGTACGAGTATGCAGGCCTATAAAAATAGTCTCTTCCCTTGAACTCTTCAACCAAACTTCGGTATGAATTTTTCATATTGTAAATGTACACGTTAATCCTACACAGTTTCTTTGTGATGATTTAGCCAAAAACATTCTAATAGCATAATGTATAGGTTCAACGCCGCATTATGATCCCACTGGATTAATAGTGAAAAATTACATTATCTTTTAAAAATGCATTTCTTTTGAATATTTAAGGGCGTGCAATAAAAATAGTTTTAAAAGGTGTAAGCACAATTTTTCTGGCTCCCCATAAAGAAATCTTGGTTCCTATGGTATGAGGCCTACAGCCCCTAAACTGGGCGACGCAGTTTTTGGGAGCTCGTCTGTTATGGCCCTTTTTCGAAAATTGTTGCCCCCTCCCTAGGGTCGCTCAGCCCAACCCAACTGCTGCTCAGAAGATACCATGGCTTGCGCACTTGCAGACGCGATTGAAACCCTGTTCGAAATTCGATTTCAGACTTCCTGGATGTGAAACAGTTGTGACAGTAGCGGGGTTCCCGTAGTAAACATCCGATGATTCATCGAAACGTGAGAAGGACACTGTCCTCCTCCTTTGCAGCATCTGGATCTTCCCCCGACACTTGGGCAAGCAGTAGCCCGATCGATGAATGGTTACTCACCCGCGCCACACAACGTAATAGTGACTCATCGGCTTGGAATTTGTGCAAGCTTCTCTCCCCCAAGGCACAAGATCTGCAACGCTTACTTTCATTCCAATCTTACGAGTGGACCCACATGTAGTGATGCTAACAGACACTAAATTAGTGTAATTTCAAGTGGTACAGATCGCAGCCATTCTATATATCTATCTGTAGCTCTACAGCCGTTTTGTTGGACCTTGGCCGCTTTTTCAGTTTCTTAATCCTGTACACAATCGGTTATGACTCCTTGTACGGGGATCAGCTCGTCGCAAGGCCGTTACCTACACACAGACATCCATGCTTTGAGTGGGATTCGAACCCGCGAGCCCCCCGTTCGGAGCGAGAGAAGACAGTTCATGCTTTAGAGCGTGAGGCCACTGTGATCGGCTACAAGTATTCTACGTTTTCAATATACAATTTTAATGTTCAGCAACATCTCCATGCTTGTGACGTCTTACATAAAGAAATACGTCAGATCTA